CGAACTTCCTCTCCAAGCTGACTTGGCCAAATTGGCCTCCAACAATTTCCACAATTCGAGAAATTCCTTCCACAGTTCCGCTGAGGAGGTCCTTCTTCTGTAATTGCAGTTTCGCGAATGCTGAACCCTTGCAGTTCAAAATGATCCTGGTCGCGAGTTCACCAAGCTTTCCTTCAGGCCATACTTGGGTCAGGAGTTCAATCTTCTGTGCCCACTGCTCCACATTGTCGACCGCGGGGTCGAAGGTTGGAACCAGCGAAGCTAACTGATTCCCTGCTGAGGAGATACCGGTGTCCAACGTGACGGAACTCGAGGTCTCTGGCGTGGTCCACGAACTTTCCAGCCGTTGCTATGATCAGGATCTCCCTGTGTGATCGCCCAGTAGCTCCGCTACCAATGTCGAGCCCAGATGGATCCGGCACTGGTATTGGATGCTCCGAACAGGGCTAACACAATACATGCAAAAGTAACACCGCCTCGGTGAATTGTGATGGTTTCCTCCCACCAACCAAGTGCCCTGCACTACCAATCGCTCCTTTTCCAAAAGCGCCCTGCGCACGATCGAGGATCCCTGTCCTCCTATGGCGAAACCGGCTCAAGCAACTTCCACCCGCCCTCCCAGCTCGAGAGGAAGGATGCAGGGTCGACCATGTGACATGCTGCTGCATTGACATACATACATACATACATACATACATACATACATACAAGATTTGTTGGGTGTCATCACCATCTCTAGCTTTCCTGTTTCCCGGGAAGAATGTTTTCGTTGCCTAATGTCAGGAATGCAGAAAGAAGGAATGCCTTCCATTCCTTTAGGAAAACCCCTATCAACAGTAGCATGGCATTAGCAACAAGTAGTCAACAAAGGCATGTGTCTTCAATGCTCCCTTCTAATTACTCCTCAGGCTGCGACCCTTCCGGACGTCTAGATCCAGCAGGAGATGCTCTAAATCCTCCTGGGCAAGAAGCTTGTCTCGGTGTGCTGAACATCGAAGATCCTCATCTCCCCAGCCTCGTCCAAGGAGCACATTGAAGATCCTCCATGAGCTTCGAAGAGACACAGAATGTCCTGTGCCTCACAGAGTGCCAAGCATCCGAAAAGCAATGGATGAGAAGCCATCTCTCCCCAAGCTACAAACAGGTCATGTCACGACACTCCTACTATGTACATAAATTCGAATGAAAGCGCCTGAGCTACACTCTACACTCAACATCATTTTCTATTGATGCCAGCCCTGGCTGCACACGGGTGATCTTTTCCCTCAATCCTGCTTTGTCGTCGTTTCCGATGTCCGTTCCTTTATTTCTGTCCAAGTCAACCTCTTACCGGGTGTCACAAGGCTTCATTCCGCCCTTGGCTTCGTTGTACTGATCCCCGTTTGTTGTTCATTCTCCCTCTCTCGTGTACGAGGCCCATGAGGATGGCACAAGGTCGGAACACTGCATGGCAGGATTTGCTCATGTTGTGCTGCCCGGCCAAACTGATGAGTGGAGGCAAGGCCGAATCCCTGCCTCGGATACAGTCCAGCCAGCTTGTCGTTGCTTTTGGGCGGCCTCCTCTTCGCGCAGAAGCCTGAGTTGTGCAACCGATTGACATTCCATTCTTCCGCCATAGAATTTTAGCAACCCTCTCATGTCGCCTCAACCTTGCAATCCAGCCAATAAGTGGGCTTTGAGTGTGAATTCGCTTCATGCCAAGGAGCTTGACCAGGTTCATGAAGTCTTCCAAACTCAAGAGTCTGTAGTTCTGAAGACCAATCCGAGTTAGGCCCTGCAGCGCTGTTGCTCTGGGCTTGCCAGCTGAATAAACAACATGTCCATGAAAAGAATAGCAAGCCTCCTCCAAGGCATCCTCTTCCATTGACCAGCCAAGGGAACCCAATGCCTTCCAAACAAAACGCACCAATGATGGCAAAGCTAGCAAGGCAAATGGCAAGATTTCAAGCCTCCAAGGCCCCTTGCGGCACCACTAGCCCTTCTCCTTGCAACACCTCAGGCAGCACGAGTCTTGCATTCAACTTCTCTGTGAAGACAGTGGCGGAGTCAGCACCCAACCTTCTTTGCAGTGCCTTCCTGCACAAAGCTGCAAACTACTCCAGAGTGCACAGTGCATGTCCCATTCGCTTGTCCACATGCGAGCCTGTTTCACACTGCTGCGCCTTCTGAAAGCTGCTCGCGAGCTTTCATTGCCTGAGTACAAGAATGCATCCAAACATAGAGGGGAAAGCTTCAACACGTTGCCCCCTTTCTGCTTGCAAAGGAGATTCTCTGCCGTCGGCCAAAAATGAGCTCCTTTGGAGAGTCCTGAGTTCCAAACACAAGCATTCAGAACTGCAGAGCTTGTTTGCGTGTTTGTGCGTGTGTCATCTGTGTCATGGGAAGTCTGTCTACGACAAGCATGCAGAGCTGTCCTCATCGTCAGACATTGTCAAGGCAGAACCTGTCTCCTCGAAGTCGCTGAGATCAGAAAAGCCCATTTCCCTTGCCGCATCAGTTTGCTGCATCAGATGTGGGAAAGGATCTGAACATTTCTCGAAACTCCGAGCAGGCAACTGGGCATTCATCTCATATGCCTCAGCTGGATTGAGGTGTTGCACAATGTCAGTAATGCAACCAAGCATCTGATGCATCACTTGCATTGCATTGATGCAAGTGATATCTTTGTCAAGTTTAACTGCTGGCTATAGATTGGATTGAAAACATTGATATTGGTAGCATCAATAGGTATGCAAAAAAAGAGAGAGGAGGGAGAGGCAAAGAGATATAGAGAGAGGGAGAGAGAGGGAGAGAGAGAGAGAGAGAGAAAATAGCTTACTCAACCGGACAACAACCCAATAGCGTACTTGTATGATGTAGTTTTGTCCAAACGAACGATGGCTCACGGGAATCCGAAACATTTGAGATACTTTTGTCAATCTGCACTTTGAGGAAACCAGCCAGGTTAAGGAGGCCTATATATTGCAGAAATACTTTCAGGAGCCGCTTGTGGGCTTTCGGGCCTGTGTGCAGCACATGTGCTTGCTTCCCACCGGGCAACTGGAGCGAGACGCAATTTGAAATGGGCGAGATGCATGAGAGGGGAGGACAAGACTTGGAATTGGTTGTTTCGAATTGTTTCACTTGGCGGTGCAAAGACACTTCTCAACAACGGGACAGATACTTTAAGCACACCTCCAAAGTTTGACTGTTCATTGTAGCTAGAGCAGACCCATCCTTTTACCAAAAAGTTGCTTCTGCATCACACTACCTGGGTTGGTCGGGTGAGGAAGCTGATGACCAGCAAAATGATTGGCCTTTCTGTATGGAACCATCTAGGTATTATTACAAAAGACAAGCCAACAATATGGAAATTCATTAGCCGGTCAATATGTGTGTATATATATATACACCAATCTCTTTTGCATACATTGCACTGGCCCTAAGCTTGTAACATACTGAATAAAGTTCTTTGTAGACGTCTCTTTCAAGACAGGAAACAGTTCTTATCATCCCTCTTTGCCTCGAGCGGCATGCCCTGGGCGAAAATTCCGGCATCAAGCGAAAAGAGGATGTGGAGGTCAATCGAAATTATTCACACAGAAAGGTCTCGCCTTATCATATTCAAGAAGTCCTTAGGTTTGAGCACCAGGCAACAATCTGTGCAGGTTGAGTCTTTTGGCACAGGTCTACTTAAAGGTGCGTAGCAAACATGGACGAAACAACAAACATTAATCAGATGACAAAAATCCATTGGCTAATCACCTTTCTCACCTTCCTGACCTGGACAGGGCACCCCTTACTGAAAATAAGCGACACCGCTCAGTTATGCTCGGTCCAAGAGTCGGCAAGACTCAGTAGGCGATGACCAGCAGCTTTAGCATCCAACAGCAAGGAATAGATTTCGTCGCTGTTCAAGCCAAATCCTGTTCGCTTCAAGGGGGTAGGCCGAGAAGCTATTAGAAACAAGTGCATCGCTACTAGTAACAGGTGCCTTACTAGTAGTAACAAGAAGCTATTAGATAGCTAGTAGAAGCAATCGGTAGCTAGTAGCACTACCTAGGACGGATAGCTCACGCTTCTTCAAGGAAGCTCCTTCGCCTGAGGGCGGGGGGAGCTTCCTTGAAGAAGCGCTCGCGCTATTCATGTGGTTCTTATATTTTTAGGGAAACTTAAGTTGCAGTATTTGGCTTCTCCCTCTGCAAGTTTCAGGCTGTTGAATCCAGGCTGCCCATGTAGCGGAAGATACAAAGGCAATCTGCTCGGTCAACAAAACCTACTTGATCCTCAGAACGAAGTGGAACGCGGCACCGCCGCACCAGCAAATGGTTTGAAAGTCGGAGTGAGAGGCTCAGCCACCAGCTTCTGACTGGAATTGGCTAAAAACGCCGCTGAAGTATCGTGCCTGAGAAGAAAAATGACCATGAGCCCTGTGGTATCCGTGTTTAAAGTATCATCATCAACTTGAATTTTGGTCTTCAGACACAATCTCCGCAAGCGTCTTGCCTCCTCTGTTGACAGATCCTTCACCAATGCACAATGCCTTCTAAGGCAATCCAGTACTTCGAAGCTGAGATGATCAGTGTGCTCCAGCCCGAGTTCAGCGAAAAGCTCTTCCTGAAGCTTGCAACTCCAAGATCTTTGCAGTGACGACGTCGAGTCTATCTCTTCACCAAGTGCGCTGCTTGAAGCTCCAGAAATGGTGGCAACCCTGGAAAAGCTTGAAAACAGCTTGCACAAGCTTGCAAACAAACCACGGAGGCAAACCAAGAAATTTCAGTCGATATTTGCCTGGCACCAAAGTAGACAGCTCCGTTGCAGGAACCAAGCCTTGGTGATTCCGCGTCTTTTTTCTTTCCAAAGATACACAAACGTAGTCCTGAAGAGAACTATCTAGGATGTATATACATGCTGGTTTCAGCTTCTGCTAGCACAGCACTAAACAAATCTGAGAGCACCTGAGTATACTTGGCCCGAGTACCCCAGAATGCGAAACATCAAGCTCGAGAGTTTGAAGCAAGCTAGTCTGCAACATGCAAAGCAATGCCAGGAGGCCAGCGCTTGTTGCCACCTGGTCTGCTGCGACATGTTGTCAAGACCAAGTCGCTAAGGACAGTGATTGTTTGGAAATAATAACAGTGCTTGACCAAGAGTTTGAGCAAGTGATGCAGCAGCATGTTCAAGTGTAAAGCCATGTATATAAACAGCTCTCTGGCCTTCTGATACCTCTCCCAATGTTTCCCAAGCTCCAAGCACCGCATCCGCCGCATCCAGATCAAAAATTCACTGAATGCCATAGTGTGAGACAGCCTCATAGAAATGCATTTGCAAGCCAACCAAAGAGAATGGTTGGCAACTGTTTTAGCACTGAAAAAAGTGAAAGTAACGCACATCTAGCACAGTTTCCAAACTCTGAAATGTGCAAAACAAGGTCAGATTGAAGCAGAAGGAAAGCAAAGGCGATCGCTGCAGATCTTCATCTCCTGACGCATCGCTGGCGTCACTCATCAGATCGCCGCTGCGCAGCCGACGACCTTGTGCTGGTCGTGGAGAGGAAGACTTAAGAAAGCATGAAAGTTAAAAGTCAATTTTCTCTTTTTAGCCCGCGGGGGAGGTAGGCCGCAATAGTAGTAGCTAGAGGTAGCTAGTAGTTTAAATAGCTACTACTTAGGACGCAGGATAGCTCGCGCTAATGATTTGGTTCCTAGATTTTCAGGGAAACTTAAGGTAGTAGCTAGAGGTAGATCTGCTGAGCATCAGGTCACAGTATCAAAAGCCAAAGCATTCGCCAAACTCCAATTCTGCCCACACAAAGCACGGGCATAGGGGAAAAAGAAGAACACCGACCCAGGACCGACCCAAATTGAAACACTTCAAACAAGCGGCATATCTCACGGACACTGTCGGACACATCGTATTCATGCAGTCGATGCAAAAGCTCTGGGACTCGATGAATGCTGACTTCAGGGCGCTGGCTCAGTGTGCTGACTCGAGCTACAGAGAGAAATAAAGTCTCAGCACACTTGAGCAGAGTGGACGAGGAGCATTGAGCTGCACGATGTGTCGCCAAAATCAGATTGATTTGTTCCAATGAGAACTGGAAGCTGTTGTCATCCCCAGAAACTTCTGAATCGCTAGATTGGATCTGCGGTTGCTGTTGTATATCCAGTCCCAACGCTTCCATAATGCTTTCACGAATGGCTTGCCAATCCGAAGATAGCCCGAGATCATGCAGAAGAAGTGGAAGTCTGGCCACATGAACAAACGTTGAGCCATCAGCCAAGTCAGTCGAATGTGCCTTAAAGGTCACCTGCAACTGTTCGTATTCCCATGGTCCAGCACACTCCACAACTTTGAGCAGCTCCTTCCAATCTAATGTGGAAAAACGAGACACCTCTTTTGCTAGAGAGGTAGCAGCTTCCTCAGTGATGCCCAAGTATCCAAGATGGTCGAGAACATCATAAAGATCACTGCAGTTCATCTCTGCACCTGACTTGAAACGCTGAAAGCTCTCCTTCACAAAAAATTGCTCATGAGTGCTGAGCTCATGTCTGCGGCTTTGCCTTTGCAAATACTCAGAGGCCCCGCGACAGCCCTTGATGCGGCGTTCTTCTAAATCTGAAGCATCTACATCCAAAGGTGGCAAGCAGCCCCTGGACGAGTGCCTGCTTCCGCTTAATGATACCAAACATATTTCGTCCGAAGTACGGCGAGAACAAGCTTTCGCAGAGTTTTCGATCGGTTCGAGGACTGACCTTCCCCCCAGGGCATGCTTTGTGGCTCCTAGTGTCCAACGCCGACTGGGTGGAAGTGGAGGATCCTCTGGCGCCACCGTAAGCTGTCCAATGCTTACAACGCTCACCGTCTCTCCCAAACGTCGCGTTGGCGTGGTTGGGGAAGATGGCCATTGCAACATGACAGCGACATATGTGAAAAATGGAAAAGAGCAAACAAGGGCTTTTTCAAAGTTGGGAGAGCTTGGAGCTTTCACTCTTTCATGCCTTCTCCATCGAAAACCTCCGGAGCAATCTGATAAATAACTATTCTTGTACTGAGCTATGCTGAGCCTTGAACAAACCGCGTGTTTCATGAGCCAAGTCTGCACAGTGGCTCCAACCAGCCTTTTAAGGGTCTTGCTTTTCCAGCAATTCTCTCAGAAATGCTACCGCATGTTGCACGTACTTTTCGCACAGGCGAGCATCTGGACAGAACTTTGGGCTCGGTCTGCGTTGCGCAAGACAAGGAAAATTCGTCCAGGGTCAAGAAATGACACAACTTGAGATGACGCTATTAGGTTGGAGGCTATCGCTAGTAGGTTGGGAGACCATTGACCTGGACCTATAAGTTGCGTCAGCAACTCAATGTCGTGAGCTGTTTCACAGAAGCAAGATTCGCCTCTCCATGACCCCCGGTATGTGCCAAACGCTAAACCCTGGACTGGACTGGAGAGGATTGCAGGGATCATAGGAGGATGTCAACTGTAACCAGCACCAAGGAGTTCATTTTTCAAAATTTGCTCCAAGGTGGCCAACGACGGCACATGCAATGCCACATGTCGATGGCACATCATACTCCTGATTAACACATGATGTATCACTAATATCGAAGGTCATCAAACTTGTTCCTCCACTAGTCTTTGGCTGAAGTTTGAATTGAATCCTGCATCAAAGTTGGAAGTCTCTGGTGCCCACGTGCTTGCGCCATTGCAATGCAACTGCCATGAGGCGAAGAATAGGATTGAGGAGAGCGTGCCTTGGCACTCCTAGATAGGCAACGGCAAAAATGCCTATGTCAGCAGGTCCCTACGAAGAACCTCTCACTACGAATCTGATGATATCAATTCCACTGCCTGTCTGTCTTAAGTCTAAGGGCAAGTCCACATAATTGGATGTGTGCTGTTCTGTATGAGTTCTGTGTGTGTTAGTGTTGGTTGGTCTTCTTTTTTGCGCGGAATTGAGTCGCTCTGCATGAGGACTTCGCGTCGACTTTTCAGCGTCTCAGACCTCGGGAGTGGTCCACCAGTCGCGGCCATTCTTCATCCTCGGTACCATCGACCCTGCACCTAGGAGCAAGGACGCTACTAGGGGCTCCTGGCATCGCTACTGGGAGCAA